CATGGGTAATAACAGTTCCTATCTTATAGCCTTGTTGTAAGAATTTTATGTCTAAATACATTTTAAATGAAAGAAGTCAATCTGAAAATACTATATACTATACAATTTCAACTATATGGCATTTTCAAAAGGCAAAACTAGAGACACTGTAAAAAGATCAGTGGGGGGCAGGGGGAAAGTGGGATAAACAGGCACAGCACAGAGGATTTTTAGAGCAGTAACTCTACTCTGTATGATACTACAGGGTGGGGCAAAAGTAGGTTTACAGTCATTCATATGGAAAATAATACATTAATAAATAATAATATAAGAGTAAGAGTAAACTGTGTTCTGTGTACTCACAACTGTAAACCTACTTCTGCCCCACCCTGTATAATGGTGGATACATGTCACTATATATTTATCAAAACCTATAGGATGTAAAAACAAAGAGTGAACCCTAATGCAGCCTATGGACTTCGTATAATAATGATGTGTCAAAGTAGATTCTTCAGTTCTAACAAATGTAACACTCTCGTGGGGGATGTTAACATGGGGGAGACTATGCACGAGTGGGGACGCGAAGTACAGTGGAACTCTCTGTATTTTCTGTTCAATTTTACCATGAACCTAAAACCGCTCTAAAAAATAAAGTCTATTATAATAAATATATGCATACACACATACAGTTAGTATGGAAAAAATGGGATTTCTATGTAGGGTTCTACAGTAAATTATCAGGACTCTATTTATTCTTACTTTGCAGGTACAAATAACAAATGTTTAACTATACATTTTGTTTGCTGCATGAACAAGTTCTGAAATCAGGGACTCCAATTCCAAAAGTCCAAAATAATGCCATCTAAGACAACTACTCTAAAGCAATAGTTTCCAAACAATCGTTCATTATCAAGTTTTAACCTGGCAAGCTGTAAAACGAAAATAAAACAATAATTCTATACACACAGTCACTGACAGGTTGGCAACGACCTTTCCTGCGAAGGACAGCATTTATTCTGAGTTTTAGGATTTCAGTCGTGTTAAAACATATTTTCTGAAGTAATAGTGGTACAGGCAGCCTATGTTTGCTTTTTAAATACCGTTACATCACAAAATCAAAAGATGGGACTTGGTCTATCCCTCAAAGAAAAGAAAAAAGTCCCCAGAAGTCCCGGAGCCACTGCTCCCGGGATTTCTCCAGGAGTTTCTGGGCATCAATCATCCCCAGAGACGACCGGGGACGAGCAGAACGGCCTCGACTGGGGGCCCTGGCAGCCGCTCTCAGGGGGACACTAAATGCTATTTGACTGGAACGCGGGTGCAGACACAGACTCACTGGCGCTGGTGTCAAAACCTCCCCAAGCCGGCAGCTGCCTAAGTCGAGGCCACGGCGTCCACCTCAACCCCGAGCCGAGGGACAGCGCCGGGGGTCAGCAGCGGGAGGGGGGCCCGGCGAGGACAGCGCCGCCCACGCGAGCTCCGGCTCGCCCTCCGCGCACGCCCACCCGACCCCAGCCCACCCCGCTCACCCGG